TATCATCAGCTAAGCCGTATGTTTACTCAAAAGTGGAACAACCAAAGTTATGCAGAAAAATATGCACGACTTCATAAAAATCTAGCAGTACACAATATTCTTACTTCCAATACAAGCTCTGGAAATCTCATCAGATAACCCGAGTTGATGCCTTCCAGGCAGCTGAGCTGAAATTCTGTTCTTTCTTTGTGTAATCTCTTGATTTGAGTCTTTCTTTGATCATTCATGTCTTTTGAAAAATTCTTTTTCAAAAAGGCTTAGGAATCCTTCACTCTTCTAATCTTCATCTCACCTCCTCTATTTTTGTCACATTAAAAACTGCTATTTTGTAATTTTATTGTTCATAAAATTGATGGAGGAATTATGAAAAAGTGAAGAGAGAGGAAATCATGTGATACTTTGCTAATCATGTCTCTAGGGTAAGAGGCAAACAACAACAAAGTTTATTCTATGTGTTGTGACCTATTTGTTTACAACAGAGGTAATCCCAGAGAAATAAATCATCCAGTTTATGCGATGCCTTACCCAGCACATCTGTAATGGCTCTGTAAAGTGGAAGAGGAATCTCTAGGCATTGTTTCAAAGTAAAATAAAACCTCCATTCACCAACTTTTCTTTGCAGGCTCCATTTCTTTTTCCCATTATATTTTTTTACTGTTTTAATCAAGATTTATTTACCATAAAAGGATATATTAGGTTGTAGAGTTTTCTAATCTTTTTTTAATTATGATTGATCTGTTTTATTACTGGCTGTGGGTTTTTTAAATTTTATTGAAGTTATACAAGTTTCATATATTTCATAGGTACAGATTTAGGACCATAGAAACACGTCCCCCCTACCATCCCTTCCACCCATTCTGCAGCCCTTCCTCTCCCTCCCTCTCGAATTCCCACTCTTAATTTTTACAAAGATCTATTTTCTGTATACTTAATGATCATATGGTTAACCCTAGTCTAAGTAAAAGAGTTCAACAAATAGTATGTAGAGAAACAAACAAGCAAACCAAAAACCAAAAAACAAAAACCACTATTCCTCAATGGAAGAGACAAGGGCTTGTTTATGAATAATTATTGAATCTCAGAATATCTATTTCACTCCAATCTTTTATATTTCATGTACTGTATTAGTTACCTTGAATCAGGGAAAATACGCTATCTGTCTTTTTGGGACTGTCTTATTTCACTAAGTATTTCCATCTTGTTGCGAAAGACAGGATTTCTTTCTTTCTTTCTTTTATTTTTTAACAGCTGAGTAGTACTGCATAGTGAAATATACCATAATTTCTTTATGCAGTCAACAGTTGAGATCACATCTAATCTTAATTGTTCAGAAAATACAACATTCCATTGTGAGACAGTCCCTTTATATTAGATTTTATCAACTATAATTTCACTCTCAAAAATATTCCAAATACTTTCCAAAATATACATGTCATATTGTGTTATTAGGGGAGCTGTCTTGGTCATTTGCTAATTTAAAAAAAACCCTCCAATAACTGAATATTTGGGTCCAATAAAATCATATAAAATATTTTCCATATCCAACAAGGGCATTCATTGGGATTTGAATTTCTATACCATTGGATTTTATCCACAAAATGATCATTGTTCTCTTTTTTTTTATAAAAGCATTATTTCTAAACTCCAAAAATTTCATATACTGTTTGGTAACATGCGTCTAAATTTAATGTGACTATATCTTGAAGTGTCTTTGATGAAAAACCAAAATAAATTGAATAGAGTTTTATATCCCTGTTTTATCCTAGTTGCATTCCAAATGGAATACTGGAAGTGATTAAGTATATAAACTCTTACAATAATAGAACTTTGCATATTTTGCATATTTAGCATTTTCCCTGTCTACTTGACTAATACATCTCCTCCTGCGCTTTGCTAATCCTTTGCTTCCTTGATTCCTGTTGTTCACTCTGCCTCAGCCATTTGCTTTGCTAGCATTCTACCTACTTACATCCCATTCTTTTGAACCTATTCAACATGAGCCAGTCCCAGTGTACTTCTGCAGTTTCAAATATATCTCCCTTTAATTGCTTGGAAAAAAAAAAAAAGGCCAGTTGCCTTAAATAGCCAGTCATCGATATTTTCTCCTTCTCTGCTGTCCTTGCTGACATCCAATCAGTGTGCCTCTCACTACTTCTAGACCACACAGAACAATGGCATGGACTTTCCTTCCATACAACTGCATATTCATCAGCAGCCTCCTTTGTTATTTTTAAAGATTTTATTTATTTTATTTGAGAGGTAGAGTTACAGACGGTGAGAGGGAGAGACAGAGAGAAAGGTCTTTTCCGTTGGTTCACTCCCCAAATGGCCACAACGCGGATCCGAAACCAGGAACCAGGTGCTTCTTCCCCATCTCCCTTGCGGGTGCAGGGGCCCAAGCTCTTGGACCATCTTCTACTGCTTTCCCAGGCCATAGCAGAGAGCTGAATTGGAAGTGGAGAAAGTGGGACTAGAACTGGTGCCCATATGGGATGCCGGCACCGCAGGTGGAGGATTAACGTGGTGCACCGTGGCACCGGCCCCAACAGCCTGCTTTTGGTTGCTCCTCTCTTTCATTCTCTTGGGTCAGACCTTCGCTACTATCAGTCTCCACTGTGACTTATTCTGTCTCTCCTCACTCAGCTTGTTAGGACCTTTCTAGAATCACATGCCACTACTCAGCTCTTCTTTTCTCTTTCTCTCTTTCTCTCTTTCTCTCTAAGATTTATCTCATTTATCTGAAAGAGAGTAATACACAGAGAGAGGAGAAGAGAGGCAGAGAGAGAGAGAGAAAGAGAGGTCTGCCATCCAATGGTTCACTCCCCAATTGGCCACAATGGCCAGAGCTGCACGGATCCTAAGCCAGGAGCCAGGAGTTTCCTCCAGATCTCCCACACAGGTGCAGGGGCCCAAGGACTTGGGCCATCTTCCACTGCTTTCCCAGGCCACAGCAGAGAGCTGAATTGGAAGTGGAGCATCCGGGTCTTGAACCGGCTCCCACATGGGATGCCGGAGCTTAGGCCAGGGCGTTAACCCACTGCGCCACAGTGCTGGCCTCACTACTCAGCCATTTCAATGTCGTTGCTTCAACTCTTAAAATTTCTTATCTCCTTAACTAAGTTTGCCAAAACCCAAATGCTGGGCACCTCAGCACTTTCTTTTCTGTGTTGTTAAATGTAGGCTACTCTTTGTGTTCAATATGAATACATATAATCAGTTCTCTAAAAGTTCTTCCCTTATGTTGACAATCTATTTCATCACTAATAATGTTTCAGATAATTTTTATATCCCATGATTATTTCCCACCCTCATTAAAGTAGCCAACATATTTCATTTCCTACATTGTAGAGATTGAGGTAATCCAATATGAGTTGTTTTAATATCCTTCTAGTTTTTCTTCAATATCCTACTAGTTTTGCTTATAAAAATTTAATTCCTTTTCCTCACATGCTCATTTAATTTGAATTTGAATTCCTTAGTAGTCACACTTCTTCCATAGTCTTCAGATCTCTTCTCTTTGTTAGCTGTTAGCTTTTCACTTTGATGCATGTTTGCCCTGTATCAAAATGCCTTCTACTTCCTCAAGACTTCCGCTTCCTCATGTAGTCATTGCACCATTCTCCTCTTCAACATCAAAGAACACAAGGGAATAATTTCTATTTGCCTTTTGCATTTTCTCACTCCAGTTCAGCTTTCTTTACATCCCAGATGTCAACCCAACACATTCAAAATAATGAACCTGGTCCCAGCTCCTGAACACTTTGAGCTCAGTTCCTGGCATATCTTACACTTTCTTTCTTTTGAGAAGCCTTCTTTCCTTTTCCAGTTCACCCACTCTGCTTTTTATACATTTTCATTTTTATCTTCATAGTTTTCATTCTTTTCTCTGTCAATGTAGACACACCCAGGATTCTATCCTTGGCTTTCCCTTCTTTCTAATCTGTTTTCTATGTAACGATGTGTACTCTATTTTCTATTTCCATTTTGGTGGTTGTGAGCATTGAGAACTCAACTTTTCCAATTCCAAATTAATCAGTAATTTTCTTGAATTGGATACTGCATTTTTGCTTTTTTATTTTTTAAAGATTTATTTATTTATTTGAAAGGTAGAGTAACAGAGGGGTGGGGGGCAGGGGAGAGAGAGAGAATCTTTCATCCACTGGTTCACTCCCCAGATGGCCATAACAGCCGGGGCTGGTCTGGACTGAAACCAGGAGCCAGGAACTTCATCTGGGCTTCCCACACGAGTGCAGCAACCCATGGAATTAAGCCATTCTCCACTGCAATCTAGGGAGCTAGATTGGAAGTGGAGCAGCCAAAACTCGAACTGGCACCCATATGGGATGCTGGTTTTGCAGGCAGCAGTTTAACCAGCTGTGCTAAAAATGACAATCCCCTCCCCCCACCCACACACACTTTAAAACTGTGTATACTTCCTAAGCATCTAAGCATAGGAATCTCCAAATCATCACTGAATTCTTCTAACCTTCACATTAAAATCATCTGTAAAACCACCAAAATTCAATCTTCTTTGAGTGTCTTATGTTTAAAATCTTATTCTTTACACTTTTCCATAATATATTTCACATAGACCTTCTTCAAGTCAGTAAGAGCCAATCACGTTGACCAGCAGGGGAGGGGAATGTCTGGCCCACAGATTGTACAAGGCCAGCAAAATCATTTGTTCTGGCCCTGGCAAGGCAACCAGAGGAAGGACTCCTAATCCAATAAATCTATAACAGGTGAATTTTTAAATTGATAATTTTGTCTGGTCCACAAATGATATTATAAATGCCCAAAAATTCCCTTAGCAGATAAAAGGTTCCCCATCCTTGGCAGGGAAAAGTGGTAATGTAAAAAGAAAAAAAATCACATTTTCTTTTTACTTAAAAGTTAAGATCTGTGTGCATCAAAAGGGAAGTTTTTTGAATGAGAATGAAAATGAAGAAGACATACCCACTGCACCTGGTGGGCTAGGAGTTGAGTGAAGGATTTTACAGGTGCTGGGACAGGGAAGAAGAGGAGTTCCAGGCACATGAGCTGGGAGTGCCAAAGAACAGACACACAGCTGGCACTGAAGGGAGGAGCCAGCTAACATCTAAGACCAACAGCCCTTCAAACGGCCCTTCAGACTGTGCTGTGGAAGCCAGGGCAGCACCTCCAGACCATCTATCCCCACTTCCAAGTTCTGCAAGACAAGTTGTTGTGATCGTCAAGTTCTGGAAGACTAACTGTCGTGGTATGTAAGCTCTGGAAGGTTATTTGTTGTGGCATGTGAGCTCATGATTGAAAGTTGTTTGCAAATCTCATTATATCATCCACCAGAACAACCACTGGTACTGGAACACTTGGTTGACACACATCTGGAGTGCCCTGTTTTTCAAAACACTGAGGACATTTGTGAAAACTTCTACTGAAGGATGGGTGTGTAGGTGTGGTGGTACTGTGGGAAGGAAAAGCTTGACACCCATGTTTGGGGAGGGTGGGGCAGTGTCCTACATGTGGACCGTGATACAAACACCATTAAGTAGCAAATCTGATGCAACTCTGTTTTTGTGGCAGGCATAATAACAGCACCCCTACAGCAGGAGCAAGCTTCTCGCGTTCTCTCTTATTGTTTTATCACTTGTGTCAGAAGGGTCCTGGACTGTCATGAGAAAGTTAGGTCTGTACTGGAATACTGATGGGAGGAGAACCTGCGAGCTAAGATTGCATAGGGTGAAGGTTGGCGGCTTCCTCAAAACCAGCTAGTAAAGCATGCTTTCAAAATAAAGTCTATGGAAACAAACAAGCTGGCAAAGCAGATCTCTTGGAAGATGGGCAGTTCTATGCTGGACCTGCTAAACTGTGGCTCTTGTGCAATTTCGTGTGTCTATATGCCTGACAATTAACCCTTTGTGTGCTTCTAGTACTGGATGGAGAGGAAGGCACAGAGAAAAGGACCCTTAATCCTTCCTCCCTCACCAACATCACACAGTCCCCTCTATATCCCCTCCATTCCTTGAAAGGAAGCAGAATCTACATTTAATCTATCAGGTTTAATCCTGGATTTCTACTCTATCAATATTTCCTAATCAAATTTTAAATATGATTTCATCTTGAAGGTCTTGTCTCCAGGGCATCATCGCCTTATGACTGTGGAGAATGTGTTGAGACTATTTGCAGAAAGGATTGTCCAATGCCAGACAAAATGGATTTGAAAAATGCCTGGTGCAGTGGGGAAAAAGGTATTGCTTGATTGACAAGTAATCAGGTTCAGAGGACACAGTGAATTGGGAGGCAAGTCGATGTGTCTCACTTTTGAGGTTGTTAGTGTTCTCCCATTAAGACTGATATCCGGGCTGGTGCCGCGGCTCACTAGGCTAATCCTCTGCCTTGCGGCGCCGGCACACCGGGTTCTAGTCCCGGTCGGGGCACCGGATTCTGTCCTGGTTGCCCCTCTTCCAGGCCAGCTCTCTGCTGTGGCCAGGGAGTGCAGTGGAGGATGGCCCAGGTGCTTGGGCCCTGCACCCCATGGGAGACCAGGAGAAGCACCTGGCTCCTGCCATCAGATCAGCGCAGTGTGCTGGTCGCAGCGCACCAGCAGCGATGGCCATTGGAGGGTGAACCAACGGCAAAGGAAGACCTTTCTCTCTGTCTCTCTCTCTCACTGTCCACTCTGCCTGTCAAAAAATTAAAAAAAAAAAAAAGACTGATATCCACTGACCGTGCTAGAGAAGTTTTAGAATGAGTAGCTCTTAGATGCGTAGACTCAGAGTAGCAGTGCCTCACCTTTAAAGGTAGAGAAACAATGGGCTCATGATCCCTGAGAAAGCAGAGGGCAAAGGATGATTAGATAAATACCCCTAGAACTAGGGAAACAGACAGTGTCCCCATGGAGCTCTTTCCTAACTTGTTGAGTTATAAATATTGATTTGGAAAGGGAAGAAGGATGATTTTTGTCATCATATTAGATGTAGGGGTGCATCTTGGTCTTATCAGTTTTATAGGTGCTGATGGCTGAGTAGATAAAAGATATCAACAATAACAAGAAGAATGAGAGCAATAACAAAAGCTTCTGTTCCTATGAAACAATAGGTCTTATACTTCAAAATTATCCTGGGTATGAAGGACGGAGGGAAGTCACTGGGGTCTTTCAGCTTGCAGGAGACTGCGGTGCCACGGCGTGCATGCGGCTGAACAATGCCAGGGCCTGAATTACGTCCAGGGCAGGGGAACTGCCATCAGCGTTATCAGAACATCTGTCAGAAAATGAAGAAAGTATATTAGATAATAGAATTTCAGCAATGTTCAATTTACTTAATTTGATAATGTGCTATATTTTGGCTTTCAGAGGTAAGGGGGAACCCAGCCAACAATGTTTCCCTTTAATGTTTCAGGGAGAGGAAAACGAAAGTGTCCCCTGATGCTTTTACAGGCTCCTGGCAGTAGAGTGAGTGTGCTGGCCAGGAGCCCAGAGGGCTGTCTGCTACCAGGACGAGCTTCTTACCTACCTCTTATCTTTTATCTTTCCAGGATAGCCCTGGGCATCCACTGAAAACTGTGATAAAGAAGGAGCTGGGAGCTTCTTGAGTGAGATGTTGCGAAAAGGATGAAGAGAGATAAGCAGGGAAGAACTGGAGTAGGCTTCTGTCCCGCTGTCCACCAGGACGTTTGGTACCAAGGTTGTCATGGCCCAACAGAAGCAGCTGTGAAGCAGAACCCCTTGGAAGATAAATTAGACGCTGTCGGGCCAGGCCCTGTTGCAAATGACCCCTGCACTGAGTCTGCTTCCTGGCAAACACCTGGACTACCTCCGGCGTGTTTGCCAGAGGGCTGCGCTGAGCTTATGCTCAGAAAAGTTTACGAAAACCTTAGAAAAACTGTTAAAAATGGGTCAAGGTTGTGGCAAGGGGGGTTAAACTGATGCTTGTGACACAGGCATCCCATATTGGAGCACTGGTTCAAGCAGTAGAGGATCCAAGTGCTTGGGTTTCTGTACCCACGTGGGAGACCCAGCTGAAGTCCCAGGCTCCTCGCTTCGTCTGGACCAACCCTGGCTATTGCAGCCATTTGGGGGAGTGAACCAATGGATGGAAGATCTCTTTCTGTCTCTTTCTCTCTCTCAGTCTTCCTTTTATCAATAAAATAAATCTTTTTATAAATCTAATGACAGAATGATGAAGGGAAAATTTCTCACATGATATCTTGTTTGTAGAGAAATTTATTTTCATAGCAATCAAGTTAAAAGATGATAACAGATGTTTAAAAGAACTAAAGATTTTTGACAGCTTTAGAAAGTAATGAGATAAATGTTTGATCACTTTGAGAATTCCTTGTAGAATTTGCAGCTTGGCAAAACAAAGCAGAAAACGGGAGGAAGGCGGGGAAAGTCCTCTTGCACAGGTCCCTATGGGATCTGCCTGGGCAGAGGCCCTCTCACCCGGCCTCAGGGTTGCAGACACACTCTGATTTCTAAGGAATTTTTCAGCTGCCTGGGGAGTGAGATGAGTTTTTGCAGAAGCTGCCACAGGTGTGTATGTCATTAACCCTGGCAGTATCTTTAGACAGACAGGCCTGATTACCCCAGTGCTAGTCAGGAGCAACTTGGGACCTATTATGTTGTGGTGGGTAGGATTATTTTCCCTTTCTAGAAAAACTCCCTATATGGGATTATCAAAGCTCTGGTACTGTTAGGGAACCACATACAAAAATATGTATCTCTATATATGCACACATTGTTTTCATTCTAAATTTGTTTATTAGGAAGTCTTCTGGATATACAAAAAATATTCCTGTCTAGCAGAATTTCAGTGGGTGAGATTGGGAATTTATAAAGCAATGATTGGCTGCCTCTGTCTTATTCATCATTTAAAAACCCAATCTTTCAAATACCACATCTGAAAGTGCTAATGAGTAGACATTATTAAGAAAAGATAATTGTGCCTGCTAATGCCACCATGTAACTTAGCGTCACAGTTTTATGGCTACTTCTTAGAAGGAGAAGAAAGGTGGTGATTAAAAGAGGATTTATGTTTAAGGGGAAAATGTTTTGATGTTTGGTATTTTTGATGGAAGACATCTGCGCAGAAATCCACTGAGGACAGGGAGGCAGGTGAGAGCGCAAGGTGCCTGGGATGGGAGTAAGAAACAGTTACTGGTGCCAGTGGGGAATATTTCAGAAGAAGTAGATGTTGAAGCAGAGTGGAGGAATTATCCTGGAGGAGACACTTTGACTTGTGTGCTACAGGAGGAAAGTGGGGACTACGTCGGCGCAATTCAATGTGAAATATCTGTTTTCTATGAGAGCAGAAAAGCAATACCCTGGCAGGTCTGAGGGAATGTGGGCTGAGAAGCCACCTAGATGTCCTTCAGTGGGTGAATGGCTGAGTAAACTGTGGTATAGTCGTACAGTGGAAGATTATTCAGCACTAAAAAGAAATAAGCTATCAAGCCATGGAAACACATGGAGGAAACTTAAATTAGCATTGCTAAGCTAAAGCAGCCGATCTAAAACGGGTAAATACTGGGTGATTTCAACTCTATGGCATTCCGGAAAATTATGGACTCTGGGTGACAATGATGTGTCAACATAGGTTACCAGTTGTCTTAAGGGTACCACTGTAGCGGGGCCTGATGACGAGGGGGAGGCTATCATGAGTGGGGACAAGGGAGGAAATAGGGTTCTTTGTACCTTCCTCTCAAGTTTGCTGTTAACCTAAAACTGCTTTAAAATAACAGTAACAGAGAAAACTATGAGCAATGTGATAAAAGGGGCACTTTACCACTGTGATCTTTATCCTGAAAACATGTATCCCCAGTCCAGAAAATAACTGACCAATAATCTTGAAAACCGTCAAGGTGATTGAAAGCAAGGGAAAGCTGAAACAGTGTCACAGGAAAGTAGACATGGCCATTAATCATAGAGTAGTGTGATAGATGGGATTCTGAAACAGAAAAAAAAGGTGTTAGATAAAAAGTAAGGAAGTCTGAATAACGAATGGCCGTTATTACTACCAGCATAACAATATTGAGTCATTAATCATAACTATTATAATTTAAATTAAAAATTTTATTTTACTTTTTTAAAAGATTTGTTTATATGAAAGGCAGAGTTACAGAGAGAGGAGAGAAAGAGAGCGAGTAAGAGAGAGAGATTTTGATCTTCCATCTTCCGGTTCGTTCTCCAGATGGCCACAATGCCAGGGATGGGCCAGACTTAAGTAAGGAACCTGGAACTCCATCTGGGTTGCCCACTTGGGTGGCAGAGGCCCAAATACTTGGGTCATCTTTTGCTACTTTCCCTGGGCACATTAGCAGGGAGCTGGATCAGAAGTAGAGCAGCATGCATGTGGGATGAAGGCATCACAGACAACATCTTAACCTGCTGTGCCACAGCACTGGCCCCAGTATTAACCGTAATAAAAGACCTCTTCAAGTCTATGATCCCCATCCTCTGCCCTACCCTTGAATATATCACTCCTTCTTAATCAGGTTATCTTGAAAAATAAGTGAGCATATGTGTGTCATAGGTGGCTTTAGTCAGAACCCTGACACATGTAGCCGAAAGAAATGAAAGTCACATGTAATTGTTTTCCATTAGATCCTTAGGATTTGTAACTCTCTTCTCTCTGCTGTGAAAAACAAATTCCCTCCAAAACAATACTCAATAGAAATAACAGGTGTAAATAGTTCAAGAGTGAATTCTCCAGGGGGTTATGTAAAGATCTTAGATTGATTCAGTTGGTTTGAAGGCCTACTGACCTTGGTTAACTGCCTCTCAGAGTTTTGCTAATTTTTTTTTTTTACAAAACTTATATTATTGAATATAAAGCTGGAGACCAAAGTAATTTTAGAGGATTGTGACCTTGTGATTTAATGATTATTGTCACATGTACTTGCTTCTCATATGTGATCCAGATACCCCTTGAACTTTGACCTCAGACAAGTGGGGTGCTCCTTCTGTGTAAGCGCAGGGTAGAAAAGGCCTTGTTTGCAATGACACGTTCTAGTTTAGGTAGTATTTGTTGTGGCAATTATGTCATATCGCCCAGTGCCTCACTTTGTGATTTTATCTTCACCTTAAGATGTAAATGACTAACAGGCACCTAGGAAGCACAAGTTTTAGGTGTTGCTGAGTGTTTCAATGTTAATACAATATTGATGGCTTAGAAAATATATATAATCCAACTAAAGCTTGAGTAGGCCAAAGCATCCATATTTTAAAATTGGCAATAAGCTTTCTTTGATAGAGCAATTCTGGGTTCACAGAAAAATTGAGCAGAATGTGTACAGATCTCTCATGTACCCCTCCCCATGCATACAGACTATTCTACAGTCAAAACTCTGCATCACAGTCATGCATTTGTTTAAAGTGAACCTGCACTGACATGTCATTATGAAGTCTGTAGTTTATATTTGGGTTCTTTGTTTCTGCTGTCCATTTTCTGAGACTTGACAAATATAGAATGACATTATCCACTATTAACAGTATCACACAGAATTGTCTCACTGCCCAAAGAATCCTCTGTGTACCACGTATTCATCTCTTCCTTCCTCCTAATCCTTGATAAATCCTGATCTTTTAAATATCTCCGTAGTTTTATCTTTTCCAGAATGTCAAATAGTTGGAATAATACAGTAGTAGCCTTTTCATAGTAGTTTATTTGACTTAGTAAAGTTCATTTAAGCTTCTTCCATGTCTTCTCACGGCTTCATAGGATTAATTTTTCTAAATACTTTGAGTGAAAAAATGTAATATGAGAGACAAGGTAAAAGAATGCAATTTCAACTCTTACCCAAGAACACCCCCATGCTTCTTGCTACTTTAAATATAGTTCACAAAGCAAGAGCCAGTGCCAAGTACTATGAAGCTTGAAGGCAGATCAGGTCATGGTCGTTTTTGTTTACTTGGCAAGTGAATTAGACAGTGTAACCGTTGGAAACAGAAGCTTGTGTGTAAATCAATCTCTGCCATGGAAGTGGATTCCCATTGTGCTCTCTATTTCCGTTGAGGACATCAGCAGTCACCCACATCAGACACCTAGAAGTCACCTTTGACTCTTCCCTCTCTTCTTCCACACCAAATGGTCACTAAATCCTGCCTCTTCTATTATGTACGATTCTAACATGTCACCTTCTCTGTGGCCCATCTGCTTCTCCTCCAGTTCAATTTCTCTTCTGCTCTCATGAAGAACACAATTCCCATGGCCCAACTGTTCCTCCTGTTTGAAGTGCCTTGCCCTTTCTATATTTGAGATTACTTTTAAGGTTAGCAAGTTAAAACCAAAGCCAATGCTGCCACTAACTTGAAGAAAGCAGTCAAATGTTTAGCATGATGTGCAGTGTCCTCCGTGGTTTGGCTCTTAGGTTCTTCCTTGTTTCACATTCAACTTTTATCTGCACACAAACACACCAAATTGTCTACAGTTCTTAAGCTATTCAAAGGTCCTTCCATGCCTCTGACTGTATACTTGATGTTTATTTTTACAATACAAACTGCATTTCCTTTATTCACTTAGTGAACTCTTGTTTATCTAGTATACGTTCATTCAGTTCATCAACAAATACAGAAAACTTGATCTTTGGCAACCACTGCTCTTGTTCTGAGACTGTCAAGATTAGGAAGATAGACCAAGATGGAAAAATGAAATTCATCATGTTTGTATTCTAATGTAGGAGACATAAAACAAATAATAGAGTAAAAGTCATGTAATTATGCAGTTTCATACAGTGTTCATAAACAAAGGCACTGAGTTCTGTGATAGGGAGTATCTGTGGGCATCTGGAGGACCACATTTGATAATATGGTGGGGGAAAATGTTATTGTTGACTGAGCTTTCAACTGCATGATGAGAAAATGTAGTCATGCAGAAGCAAGGGACACACTATGCAGGCAGACAAGTGTGGAAAGAGCTGAAGCACACAGGCTGTGGTGGCAGGGGGCCTCTGGCTCATACTGGGAAGCCAAGACAGGCTGGTGTGACTGCGTTCAGTGACTGCAAGGAAGTGGGAAGGGAGGACGATGTGAAGGGAACCAAGAGACAGATCACACAAAGTCTTGTGGGCCAAGGGCACATGAAAGTCAGCAATAGGATCTGACACACACGTTGGTGGATATTACATTGCTGTGTGGGGAATTCCCGGGAGGCAGGAAGAACAGGAATGAAGAAATCATTTTGAAAGTTTTGAAAGTGGTCTAAGCAAGAATGGAAATGGCTGGAGCTAAGCTAGTAGGAGCCATGAGAGAATGATGTAGATGCAAAATGCATTACAAAGGTAGGTCCTACAAATCCTGTTGGTGTTAGGAGGGAAGGAAATAAGAGAGGAAGGACATGGTTGCCACAGAAGGATTAAAACTAAAACAACTCTCAGTTTCCTGGGCATGGTAAACAGGGGACCATAACATCATTTATGAAAATGAGGAAGGGGGGTGGCAATCAACTTGATCTCTAATCAAGAGCATTGTTTGGGACAATTAAACTTCTAGCGTCTCTTAAGTTATCCTTCTCAAAGCACAGGAGGAGGAGTTAGTTACATACATTCGGATCTCTCAAGTGAGGTCCAAGTCAGAGAAGTACAATTGTAGGATACCAGCCTGTAGCTGTGATTTAAAGCAGTGGGAAAGGAATCATCTCCCAGGTAGGGAATATGAACAGGCAGGAGGTTGAGACGGTACTTGAGCTCCAGTGTCTACCCTTTGAGTAAAGGAACTTGAGACAGCAAATGAGCATCCTGAGTCGTGGGAGGCAGAAGAGAATCTCGAAGGAGCAGAGAGTCACTTTGTGTCTAGTGGGAGGATGTCCAAGTAATGCCATTCAGCTTTGCCAGTGTGGGGGTCATTGGAGGCTGTGACCCCAGTGAGGTTAAGGAGATGGAAGCTAGACTGACCTGTGTTTAAAAAAAAATGAAAAGTTGTCAAACATGCCCCAGAGTGAATGCGAAGTTGTTCAATGGAGTCGAGATATATAAACAAATTTAAGAGAATTTCTTTTGGGGCAATATTTGGATGATATACAGTTATAAAGGAAAGCTTAGACTTCCACACTTAGAGCTATAGTGAATGCTGATGGCAGCACCTTATTAGGAAGGGTTTATGTGATGATACAGGGAAATGCTTGATTGAATATCTCTCTCCAGAGGTTTATACAAGGAGTCTGAGATAAAAGTATATGCTTTGGGGCCGGCGCTGCAGCTCAATAGGCTAATCCTCCACGTAGCGGCGCCGGCACACCGGGTTTTAGTCCCGGTTGGGGCACCAGATTCTGTCTGGTTGCCCCTCTTCCAGGCCAGCTCTCTGCTGTGGCCCGGGAGTGCAGTGGAGGATGGCCCAAGTGCTTGGGCCCTGCACCCCATGGGAGACCAGGAGAAGCACCTGGCTTCTGCCTTCGGATCAGTGCGGTGCGCTGGCCACAGTGCGCCAGGTGCAGCGGCCATTGGAGGGTGAACCAATGGCAAAAAGGAAGACCTTTCTCTCTGTCTCTCTCTCTCACTGTCCACTCTGCCTGTCAAACAATAAAAAAAATTAAAAAAAAAGGAAAAAAAAGACTTAAAAAAAGTATATGCTTTGGACCTTCCTACAACAGATGAAGAGAGCTTTTCTTCTTGGATTGTGTTGTATACATGGCTGTAAAAAAGGTGGAGAAATTCGTGTTTGAAGTATGCCACCATCAGTCACGACTCTGAGCGAGGAAGGGTAAATTTGGGGACCTTGTTTTTATTGTGAATACAGCTCTTGAGTTTGTTCAAGGCAGTAGCCATGAGGATGTAAGACATTTTAAGAGGATACAGGAAGTATTATCTATTCACCTTGGAGCACAGGAATGTGGAAACGCAGTAACGTGGTGTAGTTAGAACTTTAGGCTGGCATTATTTTTATTTAAGATTTATTTTATTTATTTGAAATACAGAGTTACAGAGAGAGGTAGAGACTGAGAGAAAGAGGTCTTCCAACCGCTGGGTTACCCCCTAGATGGCTGCAATGGCCAGAGCTGAACCGATCCGAAGCCAGGAACCAGGAGCTTCTTCCGGGTCTCCCATGTGGGTGCAGGGGCCCAAGCATTTGGGCCATCTTCTGCTGCTTTCCCAGGCCATAGCAGAGAGTTGGATAGGAAATGGAGCAGCCAGGACTAGAACTGGTACCCATATGGGATGCCAGCACTTCAGACCAGGGCTTTAACCTGCTATGCCACAGTGCCAGCCTCCAGACTGGTGTTCTTTGCTTGCATACCATTTATATGAATGAATTTAAATTGAAGTTAATCAACAGAGTTTCTTAATTTTTCTGAAGAAAAATCTAAAGCCTAAGATGCAGGCCCAAATGAAATAGCTAAATGGGTTCAGGCAGACTTGGATTTTTATTATGTAATTATGACACAACTGAAAGATAAAGCCTATAAGATGATTTCAATGTTGTGACTATATTAATAGATTATAGAAAAAATGAGAAGGAAGCCTGATGGGTTGTACAAGGCGATGAGTTTAGCTCAGGGTCTTGCATAATCTAAACAACCCTTGTAGTGGATTTTTAAAATAAAATTCTTAGGTCAGACAATAGGATGAAGAATTTGAGATCTTGGATGTGATAGAATTTCTAACAGTGGTGGGTCTATTGGGCATGATGATAATGGGATTAAGTAGTTTTTGGACTTGAAACCCTGCTCCCCTACCCCATGTTGTCTGTTCCCTCTCCATTCCTTTTAATAATAAAACTCCCACATTTCTTCAGATCATGTAGCAGCCCACATAGAAATCTGTACTTCGCATCCTTCCTTTTATCTTTAGTACTTGAGAACAAATTTTCTCAAGGGACTACGAGTAGAATTCATGAAATTTCAGGGCAATGTCCTATAAGAAGGAAATTGCCCATCCTTTCTTGTTCCCCTGCTCTGTGAACCAGTATGAGGAGCCAAGGTGCTAGTGAGTAAGCTTTGACCTTCCTAAGTAAGGAAAAACCTGGGATATGTGAGGACAACATTTAAATACATTTCTGTACTCATAATGTCTGGAAGTGAGTGACAGTGTCAGCTTTAACTCTTGTGTGCGGGGGAAAAAGAAGGCTATAGCCTTCTCTGAGCTGCTGTCTGACGTGGAGGAACGATATCTCACATTTTGCAATGAAAATGGCCCCTGAGGCAGCAGCCCCTAGGGTCTTGCACAGTAGATTCAGCTCCAGAACCCCCAGCTAATCCCGCTCTCTGCAAGAGCGAGTCAATGGCTACTTATTCTTGCTCCTGTGGCTTGTCTAATATTGCAGGTGTCAGGAGTAGTAATTATATGTGTGCTTGTTTGCATAGTGATGCCCGTGCTATTTGAGGGGAGGGGCTGTGCCTGTTTTTCATCTTTGTGACCTCAATGTCTAGCAAATGAAAGAAGTTATTTAATACATCTTTGAGTGCCAAAAAGAATATAAAATTGTGCTCAATACGGGAAGAAACATGAATGAGACACTGTTTCTATGCACACAGACCGTATAGTGTAACCACAAAACCATATGTGTAGAGGCAGCCAGGAAAATGGTATAGAGGACCAGCTCAGAAAAAGGCTTGAACTGTAGTTCTTCATGGTGAAAGAAAGACACAGATACGAGCACCAAAGAACCTTGAGATCCAGACTCACAAAATCTACAGCCTTATAGGGTTTTGTGTACTTGCAATTCCCACAGTGCACATGCAACATGTCACTCCTAGTCCAGTATCTTCTATTTTGGATACTCATTCTCCCTTCCAGTTCTTTACAAAAGAACTTGGTAATCACATTGGATTCCTCCAACTCTCTCCTCTGTATCTACCTAATTGGTTACTGAGTTCAATGGGCTCATGCCTTGAAGGTATTTTGTAAGCCTGTCCCCTCACTCTTACATCGCAATACTACTTGTTTAGTTCAGACCCTAACCTTTCCCGTGTGGATTATTTCATGTCTCTGCTTTCCCTGCCTCTGTTACTCACCTCCAAACACCTTGTCAGGTTAATTTCTCATAGTATCCCAAAGTATTATAACTAAAATGTAGATATTACTATGCTGTTTCTTTTGCCCCAAAATCGTCACGAATTCCTGGTCACATGACATTTGACCTTTAGGATGCTCTGGGTCAGGGCTAGCATTGTGGCACAGTAGGTAAAGCTGCCACCAGCAACTCTGGCAACCCATATAGGTGCAAGTTTGTGTTCCAGCTGCTCCACTTCCCATCTAGCTGCCTGCTAATGGCCTGGGCAAAGCAAAAAAGATGGCTCAAGTACTTGGGCCTGTGCCACCCACATGGGAAACCTAGATGAAGCTCCTGGCTTCCTCCTGGTCTAGTCCTGGCCTTTGCAGCCATCTTTCTCTCTTTCTTGTTCTTTCTCTCTCTCTCTCTCTCTCTAGCTCAGACTTTCAAATAAATAAATAAATAAATCTTATAAAAAAAGATACTCTGTGGGGCCGGTGCGGTGCTAGGTTAATCCTCCACCTGCGGCACCGGCATCCCATATGGGCACCGGGTTCTAGTCCTGGTTGCTCCTGTTCCAATCCAGCTCTCTGCTGTGGCCCAGGAAGGCAGTGGAGGATGGCTCAAGTGCTTGGGCACCTGCACCCATGTGGGAGACTAGGAAAGAAGCTCCTGACTCCTTGCTCCTGGCTTCAGATTGGCGTAGCTCCGGCCGTGGCGGCCATTTGGGGAGTGAGCCAACGGAAGGAGCACCTTTCTCTCTGTCTCTCTCTCTCATTGTCTGTAACTCTACCTGTGAAATGAATAAATAAAAATCTTTTTAAAATATTAAAAAAAGATACTGTGTGATGTAGCCTCAAAATTCAGCTGCATCTATACCAAGTATCATTGTCAATTTTTACATTTCAACATTCCTGAACTGGCCCTAATTATCAATCATTATGTCCAAGCAACTGTCTACATCTCTCTGAAAGCCCATGTAGTCCACTTCTGGCTCTCTTACTACACTATTGGTGCTCTATTTATTCCTGAATAATAGCATCTCACTTCACTACTTTTAGACTAACTACAGGATCACAGTAGAGCTGAAGAGATGAGTGAGATAAATATACATAGGTAACAGGAAAAATATGAGTAGAGTTTTTCTTGGTTCCATTTCATCTTTGCAGCACTGTGACCTGTGACCTAATGGTCAGTGTCTATAGATCTGCAGACATTCTCGGCTCAAGAGTGTCTCCTGGGTGATAAAAGGTCCTGTGATTATTTCTTGATGCAATGTTTCAAGACTTTGTGAATTGAGTTGCATAAAGTTGGATAAACTTCATCTTAATGCCTTAATAATTCACCAACTTTGAAGTAATGGGCATTTTAAAAGTAATTTTCAATAGGGAAACTATCTTAAAAACTGTGGAACCTTTATTTCCAGGGAGTGATGTTACACGTAGGAAAGTTGAGAAGATTCCTAAAATCTAAACGTTAGAATAATTTGCACACTATCCTTCAACTTATAAAAGGTTTGTAATTCAAAACTGGTAAGCAGACCAATTGCTTAATTTCTTTTCTTTTTTTTTTTATTTGACAGGTAGAGTTAGACAGTGAGAGAGAGAGAGACAGAGAGGAAGGTCTTCCTTCCGTTGGTTCACCCCCAAAATGGCCACTATGGCTGGAGCTACACCGATCCGAAGCCAGGAGCCAGGTACTTCTTCCTGGTCTCCCACGCGGGTGTAGGCACCCTAGCACTTGGGCCATCCTCCACTGCCTTCCCAGGCCACAGCAGAGAGCTGGACTGGAAGAGGAGCAACCAGGACTAGAACCCGGTGCCCATATGGGATGCCAGTGCTGCAGGCAGAGGATTAACCATGTGAGCCACGGCGCCAGCCCAATTACTTAATTTCTAAAAACTAATGAATGAAAAATAAGGTTGAAATATTTGACTCTACATTAAAATAGGGAGAAAAAACTAACATCAGGCAAAATAGAAAAAGCTATAGTTCTCATGCTTTAAATAGACATATTTCCAGGAATTAAATGAAAATATTTACAATTCTTCAAATATCAATTATGAACTACAACATTAGGTGAGAATTTGTGGAGGCTAATTAAATCTCAATGAAAATGTCTTTTTTCTAAGGTGATTTTAGAAAATCTTGTTAGAAATGTTTTTAGATGTGTTTTTTCAGTAAGTACAGGATGAAATCAGAATTTTTTTAGAATCTGAAGTCATATAGTTGTCTGATGCCAGAAGGAGAG